GTTGCATCCCAGCTGGACGGCAGGACCAGGTCTGGGTCCTCTCTTAGCATTTATTTTTAGACACCGGACAGGCGGCTTCCTGAGAGCCCAGTGAGCGGCGCTGCTGCTTCCTGGCCGAGGTGAGCGGCTATTCCTGCTCTCGCCAGGCTTCCTCCTTCCTGCCCAGCCTCCGCAGCTCCTCTCCTGAGGCCACACTGGGCCCTAGAGGAGTGGCTGCCTCCAAGGAGGCCTGAGAAGGGTCCTGTGTCCCCCAGGGAGGAGGACTTGTTCCAGTCCCACACTCGGACCACGCACTGTCCCTCACAGTGGGCGGAGAATGGAGCTCGGTCTGCAGGGACCCGGGCTAGGGAGGACGGTGGCTGGCCTCCCCTTGGTGGGCTCCCCGCCACCCAGGTCACCTGAGCATCCTGCCTTTCCTCCCTCTCCACCTCCAGCACCCCAGCTGCTGAGCGGGTAGGCGCTGGGACACTTCCCAGCACGTGCGTGCACCCTGACCCTGGCAGTGAACAGACTCGGAGCCTGAGACACCCCCACTTTCCAGAGGCAGGGGCAGGGTCTGGGCTGGAGTTAGGTGCCCAGCTTAAAGGGGCTAGCCAACATGAGAATCGTCCTTGTCCTCTGGCACTGTGGGCAGCACTTGAAGTGACCCCTTGGGCCAGCCAGCTGGGGGACTGGAGCCTCACCCTTTCTTGGAGGGGCACATGTGCTAAAGTGGGAGAACCCCCAAGAAGCCCCGGCTCTGGCTGCGTCCTGGGTCTGGCTAAGGGTCCCTCACCGTAGGCAGCTGGCATGGAGGAGGAAGCTGCCCCAAGCCTGCACCCCATCAGCTGCTGCTGGGAAACACCAAGAGGCTGGGCAGGGACCCAGCGTGCTGGCACCCCCCTTGTTGACGTCGAGTCTGTTATTTATTAATTCTCAGGAAGGAGGAAGAAACAAAACCCTTCACAGAGTCATGAATACGCCTTTCTGTTCCCTTGTGTGGAGGCCTCCAGGAACCTGGACACGTTACCTGGGCGCTCGCTCCACCCCTGCCCCTGAGCAGGGAGTATGTTCGGTGGCAGGAGTATCTTGGGGTCAGGGAGCAGGTGGGAACTGCTTCTGCAGGCAGCTTTGAGCGGACATGTCTCCGAGAGGGATCGAGAGGACATTGCAGACTGCTTGTTTCTAAGGCCTAACTGATCACATCCCGAGTGCTGTCCACAGCTGGGTACTGTCCACCGTGTGGCCCGTCTCTGTGTGGGAGCTTCTGTGCCTCTACTTCATTTTACAAGTGAGAATCCTGGAGGCAGGAGCACTGAGATGGGCCTGCAGTCACTCGGTCAGATGTAACCCGGCAGCCGGGGGCTCGGGCCTTCCTTCATGCCCAGCTCTGTCACTCCTCATTTTCCATGGACACTGGGCTCTTTACTTGGCCTCTGTGTTCTGTAGTTACACAGCTGGGTTTTCCTTCTCTGTGGACAAGACTCCAGCATGTGCAGATGCTTGCTGCTGGCCACGGGGACGTCTGGCTCCTGCCCAGGAAAACACGAGTGTCAGGAGGTCCTTTCTCCCCTTAGTGGTCAGTCTGCAGGACACGGGGGGCGGGGGTTCTCGAACAGCTTTCCGTAGATGCAGATGGCATGTGGCACTGGCCTAGGATTACAGTGTGCAGCGGAGTAAGTCTTGACACGCTGGTGGCCCCGTGAAACCTTCGCCACTGCGGGACGTGGGGTCCTTTGTCCTTCCTCCCTGCACTGTGCTGGGCTGTGGCCTGGACCCCCTCGCAGTCCTGCTCACACAGGTGGAGTCAGAAGGTGCCTGCTCTTTTGCTGTCCTGCCCCTTTTCGCTGATGAGGGTCCATGCAGGATGAGCCCCAGGCCCATAGTCGCCAGCGCTGGGCCCACAGGCTGTTACTAGTTTGGGGCTGAACAGGAAAGAACCCGATTCTTGTGTGAAGCTGGGCTCCTTCTCTTGGGTGAATACCTGGAGGGGCCCCAGGTGTGCGGCAGGCGTGGGGCTGACTTCAAGGAGGTCTGAGCATCAGCCACGGCTGCGCTGGGCCCTCCGAACCCCACTGCTGCCCTCATGGGCACAGGGGTGGCGGTCATTTTCTATCTTGGTTGGGGTTGTTCAGTGCTGGGTGCTGGAGGGTGGCCTCCGTCCGTGCGTGGTGCTGGCCCTGTGTCGTGTGGTGCCCGTCCTGCCTCTGTGCACCTTGGGGGCTGGCTTCCTTGCCGTCGAGTGCCGAGCATCCTCTGGCCACAAGTCCTTTGTTAGGCACGTCCCATCCCAGCTGGGGCTGTCCTGCTTCCCTGGTCTCTGGAAGAGGATTCTTACGAGCTCTGACTCACTGGGGACCTCCAGCTGCCCTCCTGGGCCCCTCCTGGGGGTCTTTCCCTGCCCTCCCTCTGCCTTCCAACTGCTGTTCTGATAGAAGATCTCGGGACCCTTTCAGTTTGGGGGTCTGGCTCTCCCCTGCCTGGAAGGCCCAGCCAGCCCCTTGCTAGGGCGAACCTAGAGGTAGCCTCCTGCCACCCGACCCTGAAGTCCCGACAGGAAGCCCTCTTCCTTGAGCAGATGGAGAGTGATGACTCAGCCCCATCGCATCACCAGCTCGGGTAGCTGAGCACTGCTCCCCCTCACCCTCAGGAGGTGTTGCCCCCAGCCCCTCAGCTGCATGGAGAAGGTAGGGGTGCCCCACCCAGCCTGGGAGGCACGGGGTGGGGTCAGCCCCTGCGGAACAGCTGTTGCCTGCCCAGCTGTCTTACAGGTGGGGACACTGAGGCAGAGGAAGGGGGGTGACCACAGCTTCCACAGCTGAGTCAAAGTTTGTGACCAGGCCTCTGGGACCCCTCCCGCTTCAGGAGCCCCCCAGAACATGTCTCCATGAACTCTGAACCAGCTTCCAAACAGAATGCGTGACGTCTTCAGAGCCTCCGTGGGAGCCAGAGTTACCAGGCAGCTCAGCCTGCCGCCTGCTCCCCTAGAGCCACAGACGGCAGCTGGCTCAGAGGAGCCCAGCGTGGCGCCCTGGGGCTGCCCGCCATCTCCTCCTCAGAAAGCCCTGGGGACCCCTGGCACCACCACAGGGCCTGGTCACGAGGGACGTGCTTGGGGCCCCAGCGGCCAGGCCGTTTCCAGTTTGGCCAGCAGGGCCCTCAGTGGCAGCAATGTCCACTGTGCTGGCTGATGGGAATGAGCCCCCGCCAGGGCCCTGACGGGTAAGTGGGGCCTATTCCTCTCCCACACGGGAGGGGCCGGTGCAGTCACAAGAGCCACTGGAACCGCATAGCGGAGATGGACGGGTTCACCAGGAGGACGGCCTGGCCTGCTGACCTGGGGGTGCCTCGGCCCTCGCCCTGAAGGCCTGGGGGCCACAGCTCCTGGCCGGCCCACTCCCCTCCAGGACTAGAGCCAGCCTACCTGGGGATCCCCGGGCCACTCGGGGCTTTCCTTCGGTGTCGTTGGTTGCCCGAGCTGTCCTACGCGCATCTCCCTTCCCCCAGGCCCTGCTTCCCTGGCCAGGACCGGTGGAGCGGGACCTGGCCACTGGGTGCTTTTCTTGAGGCCCAGTTTCAGTTTCTGTTCCTGTTTGACAGCTCTGAGTCCACTGTGGGGTGAGCATCAGCCCGGACTTGCAGACCAGGGGTGGGGCCCGTCCCTGCAGGTGGCCCTAGCACAGCACCCCACGTGCCTGTTGGAGGGCAGCCCTCCTCTGGCACTCACTGCCAGTGGTGACCAGAAGGAGGTGCAGTGCCTCCCCAGAGCTGTGCTTGGTGTGTCCCCATGCACCTGCCTCCAGGAAGCCCCCCGTGGCCTGGCCCTCCGCAAGGGTGGAGTGGAGGATGAAGGCAGGGCCCTCGAGGCCCAAAGGAGCTGGTGGTGGGTCCCCATGGGAGACCCTGACTGCCACTCAGACCTGTGCCGTTGCCCCTGGCAGGGCCTCATCAGCATGTGCCTCCCCAGGGTCTCTGCCCAGGTGTCAGGCAGGTCTCCATGTCCTCCAGCGAAGTAGAGGTCCCCTACCCTGACAGTCCAGGGGATGTGGGCCCCACTGTGAGTCAGGGACCCCAGAAGAGATCGATTCTGTGGTCCCAGGGTTACAGTGTCCCCGGGTTGAGGGATTGTGGGACTGTGTGAAGCACAGCAAGAGCAGGGAGGGACAGTAGGAGTCCGAGGGACAGTGTCTGTGCCCTCTGCTCCTCTGAAGTCTTTGGCTGAGAGGTGCTGGAGTAGAAGAGGGCCAGGGCAGGCAGGACACAGGGTGTCCCGCCATTCCTGGGGACTGTGTGTCTGCAGGAGCCCTTCATGGTGCCAGGTACCAAGAGCCGCAGCAGGGTGAGCCTACGGCCACCACCCCGGGGGCGTCTGTGGCCTGAGGAGGGAGGGCCAGGTGCCTGGGCCCAGCAGGCATCTAGCCTGGTCAGCTGCTGGGGAAAGACGGGGCTGGGCCTGGTCGGGACCTGCCTCAAGGGCAGTCCCCAGCTGGCTGAAGGAGGTCGTGGATACACAGGATGGCCTGTGGTAGAGGGCTCCCTCAGCCTGAGCCTGTCCCCTGCATGCCAGCCCTGAGCAGGGACCCCTCCCCAGCAGCCACTTCCTCCACAAGCCACAGCCAGTCATGCCCCTGCCACTTCCTGGAGGCCACCAGATCCCCGCCCCCTTGGAAAAGGCCCAACAGTCCTTAGGGGCTCAGGTCCTGGTGTGGCCTCTGGCCAGCTTTAGGACAGAACGTCAGGTCAACCTGGCATTGGAGATCCATGGGTTTCCTGAGTGTCCCTGCAACGTTGGGCATGGGTGGACCACAGTAGTCTTCCTTGTTGATCTGAAATTCACGTTGTACATCCTGTGTCACCTGGCAGCCCTGCCCTGGAGTCACAGCTCAGGTGCTGGGGGTGGCCCTTGGGTTCCAGTGAATGGTGGCCAAAAGACCAGTCTGTGGTCCCTGCTGAGGCCCCCTCCCCGACTGGAGGTGCTGTCAGCAGGCTACATGTGACACTGCTCCCCACTCTTTCTCCAGCTGGCCGGAGGCGTGATCCTGGGTGTGGCCCTGTGGCTGCGCCATGACCCTCAGACCACCAGTTTGCTCTACCTGGAACTGGGAGACAAGCCTGCACCCAGCACCTTCTATGTGGGTGAGTGACACGTGGCACAGGGTCTGCTCAAGAGCCCAGGGCTTCCGGTGCCTTCCAGGAGGAGGCAGGGCCCGAGGGTAAGTGGGCATCAGTACGGGGTCCCAGCCAGCTCCAAAGGGGCTCTTGGAGCAGGAGGATTGACCCAGGGATGGGCATGTGGCTGCTGGGGACCCCACTAATCACCACGGCCTAGGCTGGGGCCAGGGAGGGCGGGCAGCCGGCAGGGCTTGGGGACTGGTTTCAAGATCTTATTTTAACTCAGGCATTTCTGGGGAGGCTCTGGGTGGGTGGGGCTGGATGCCTGGGCTGTCGGAGGCTTCCTCTTCCCCCATGCTGCTGCCACACCTTGCTACCTTATTAGGCGGCCTGTGGGGGACTGAGCCTCCAGCGCCCCAGAGGCAGGGTGACCAGGAGGAGGGCCCTGGCTGTGCAAGCAGCCTTCCCCCTTGCCCTCCCTTGGAGGCGGGCCTGGCGCCAGCGAGTTCTGGCAGTGTTGATGTTTCTGCCCTTTAAAGGAGGGGCCCCTGGTTCAGGGCTCCATCTGAAGCCTGCTGCTGTCCTCCGTCCTGGTGGGGCCTGGATGGGGTGGGGCCCTCTTACCAACTTGGAAGACATGCTGGCTGCTGAGTAGGTCCTGGGAGCCCAGACATGCCCCTCCCTGTCCCACCTGGGTGTCCCAGGATAGGCAAGAGTTCTGATCACCCCAGAGCTGTCACTCCTTTCTCCCCTTGCCCTACCCACCCTCCTCCCGGGACCTCTGTCTTCCACAGAGAGCATGGACGTGGCTGAGGTCCAGACAGGACAGGGGTGGGTGCGCCTGGGGCTGGGGCTGGTTTCCAGGCCCAGCTGTTCTGGGAGGTCCCGTGCCCTGACTGCAGGTCCCTGTAGCCTCAGTACTGTGTGCCCTCCCAGGGGGCAGCCACCCACCCTGCAGGCCCACACGCAGACTGTGGCCTGCTACACTGGTGGCATGCTTAGGCCAGGCTCCCTTGGGAGCAGACTGTTAGCTTTGCCCCACATCTGAGGGGATGGGGGACCTGACCAGTACCTTCTGAACTCCTGAGGGGTGGGGTTCTCCAGGGAGGTCCCTCCCTGACCTTTTTTCCCTCTTCTAAGATAATCAGGAGTATTGGGGGTTCAGGGGGCTCCCAGCAAATGCAGGAGCTGCCACCCCCGAGCTGGTAACAGCCAGGCATGCTCCTGGCTAGAGTGTCATCGGCACATCCCTCTCCTCTTGTGCAAGTGCTGCTGCCCACCTGCCTTCTCCCTGGGCCTGGGGCACCCTGGTTATTGGGCTTTGCAGGACTGGAGTCAAGTGGCCTTGGGGCAGGCACTTTTGCCAAGAACCACTCTCTTGGGGACATGGCAGCCGAGACAGTGGCTAGAGCAGCTCAGCGTGGGTCACTGTTGGCCCAGTGGGGCCAGACAGGAGTGGAGGGCTTACTTCACTTCAGACGAGGTCAGCTGGGGTGAGCTGAGCAAGGGCAAGGACAGCCAGGCATGTTGGCCCTCGGGGCTGCACTCCTTCAGGCCTCCTTTCCCCCCTCAGCAGGGTGGACACCACAGGCTTGTCAAGGTACCTGCTGAGGGTGGTAGCAGGGGAAAGGGGCTGCCAGGCAGGCCCCACGGTGCCAGGGCAGGGGGCATTGGAAGCAGGCCTCTGGATGGTGTGTTCTCTCCGTGGCCCATGGCAGGCTCCAGCTCCAGAGCCACCTGCTCCCTCTCCTTGGTTATTGGCTTCCTGGGCACTGGAGGACAGCTTCAGGCATGGGACTACCGGGCAGGTTGGGTTGGATGTCAGAGCTTGCCACTCTCTGGCTCTGCCTGTGCCCTGTGGGTAGGGACCACTCAGAGCCCCTCTGGCCACCAAGTCTCTGCCCATTCAAAATTGGCCTTCCTGAGTCCCCGCTGCTTCTGGGTTGGGCCCTGCAGGAGCAGATGCCAACTCTGACAAAGGCGCTTTGTGCAGTGCTGGGGGAGGGCGAATGGGCCAGCTGGCTCAGCACCCCCGGAACACTGCAGGCTCCAGAACACTGGAGGGGCTCTGGGCAGCCCTGGGCCTGTCCCTGAGTCCTGTAGGCTTGGGTCTCCTGCTCCTAGGACTCTTCAAGGCAAGAAGGCAATGCCCCTTTTGTCCGGGACACTGGAAGTAGGGCTGAGGAGAGGGAGGCCCAGTTTGAGGGTGCTGTGCCCCCCAAGTGGGGAGCTATCTGTGAGGTGTACCCGATGGGAGACTTCTCAGCCAGGTGTGTTTGGTGCTGGCCAGAGGTGTCCTCTGGCCAGTGAGGGGGCCCAGGAGACCAGGTCCCAGATACGTTGCTTTTCTAAGCCTGGTGGTGGGTCCTGGACCCTGGCTTCTTCTCCCTGGACTGGCCAGCCTGGGGGACAATGGGCCTGGCTTTGAGCAAAGAGGTTTGGGCTGCCCGGCAGCGTTGCCATGGTGATGGGGGGATGGTATGAGGGGCTGGGAAAGCCCTACAGGGACACTGTGGCCTTTCCCAAGGGATAGGGGGTGGCATGGGCTCCAGGACAGCAATGTGACCTGGCACCTCCTGGGCCTTGGTGACCCCCTGCCCTTTGGGATGTCTGCCTGCCTCCCAGGAACACATGCCAAGCTGGTGGGTATGGGCAGGTCAGCAGGGTGTGCTCTCCTCAGCTGCCCCAGCCACTCTCAGTGGCTTGGACACTCCATTCAGTTCTCAGTGTACAAGACAGAGCAGCCTGGCTCACACGGTGACGTCCCTACGATGGGGTCAGCTAGAGTGGACTGCTGTGTGCCAGCAGGGGGCCTCCACCTGTTTTCACCTCACCACCCCCAGGTCAACAGCTGGGACCCCAAGCAGCTCCTGATGCTACAGCGGGTGTCCTTCCCAGCCTTCAAGCTGGGTGTGGACATGGGTGCTGGGTGCTGGGGCACTAGTCGCCAGCACTCTGCACACTTGGATGCTGTGCAGCCCTCCCCTTGGCATCGTCGGCCTCCTCCTGTGTCACAGAAGAGGGCTGAGGCACAGAGGAGCTCATGCAGCCAGGCCGAGCTCGTGTCTCGGGCAGTACCAAGCAGCAACTCACCCTGGTCCCTGTCCCACAGGCATCTACATCCTCATTGCTGTGGGGGCCGTGATGATGTTCGTCGGCTTCCTGGGCTGCTACGGGGCCATTCAGGAATCCCAGTGTCTGCTTGGGACGGTAAGGTCAGGAAGCCCGGGAGTCCTGGGCCTGGAAAGGGGAGCAGCATCCAGCTGGCAGAGGAAGGGGTGGCCATGAGCAGAGGGGCAGGCCCAGGGTCTTTGGTTCAGCCCAACAGCCTCTGGGTAGCCTCCGCATCTCCCCAGAACTTGGGCTCTGATTTTCCTGTTTTGTTTGTAAATTGTCTCTCATCGGGTTTTACTTCCATCTAGTCCTTGAGGCTAATATTTCCAAGGAGAACTTTTTATTTTCTTTAAAAACAATCCACAAACATCACAGAGATTGAGTCCCCAAGACCAGCTTCAAGTGTCTTGGGGACCACCCACTGGCAGGAGACTGAGGCCCTGCTGTGCCTTCAGGCCTGGCCATTCTGGAAGGGGGGCCCTGTGCTCATGTCCCCAGCTGGGGAAGTTGAGGCACATGTCATGTCTCCTTTCCCATGACAAGCAGGAGAAAGGGTGGGCTCAGGAGGCATACTGCTGCATGCACCTGCCAGGGGCTCGCCACCCACAACCCCCCTGAGTGATTCTCCATTGCTCCTGCAGACCCTCCTGCAGACCCCGGGCAGTGTTTCTGTGTGAGTGCTTTAGCATCTCACTAGGGGGCCTGCGTCTTGGGCTGTGTGCTTTCTGTCTCCCTGGTTGGGATGTGGGTTGGTGGATACTGTCAGCTCCTCCCCTGGCCATAATATGCACACCTGCTGGTTACGTGGGCTCCTGCCCTCTGCAGAAGGCCAACCCCATGCTGGTCCAGGACCGTGCCACAGCCTGATCCCTCCTCCTCTCTCCAGTTTTTTACCTGCCTAGTGATCCTCTTTGCCTGTGAGGTGGCTGCCGGCATCTGGGGCTTCGTCCACAAGGACCAGGTGAGCCTGGGCCCACCAGGGAGCCTAGCGGGGTGGAGGAATGCCCTCTGCCCAGGTCTTGAGTGATGGGTGGGTCTTAGTCCAGGGTTTGGGGGTTCTCCTGGGACTCCTCCTGGGGTCTGCCTGGTAGGAGGATCTCAGGGGTTCCATGGAGGAGGTGGCATTAGGACCAAACACATTGGGGGAAGCTTATTGCAGGGTGTACCCTTAGGGATGGTCCCCACTAATGTGACCACTCTGCCCCAGATTGCTAAGGATGTGAAGCAGTTCTATGACCAGGCCCTGCAGCAGGCTGTGGTGGATGACGATGCCAGCAACGCCAAGGCCGTGGTGAAGACTTTCCATGAGACGGTGAGGTTGAGCTGGGGCGGGCCCCAGTGGGGTACTCACCTTTCCAGATGAGTCCTGCCACAGCCCAGACCTCAGGAGCAGGAGGGGTCCCAGCTAGGCAGTCTGTGTGACCCTGGCGTCCCTGGATGGGCACCTTGTGGCCTGGTTGGCCAGAAGTGTGGGAGTGTCCGAACAGTGCAGCTGGGCACGACCCCCACTGCCCCCAACATCCCTGGTGCATTTCAGGGGGGTGTAATGCGTACCCCTGCTCCCCACCCCCTGCCACACCCAGAGCTCTGGCCGCTCTCCCCTGATGCCCAGAGCTGACCCAGACACTCTCGGTCTCTACAGCTCAATTGCTGCGGCTCCAACACCTTGTCCGCACTGTCCACCTCAGTGCTGAGAAACAACCTTTGTCCATCGGGGAGCAACATCTTCACCAATCTCTTCAAGGTGTGCACTGGTGGGTGGGGCAGAGGCAGGGGCCTCCACCTATCTGGGTGGGTCCTGGTTTGGGGGTGGCACCAAGGCTGCTCTATTGGGAGGGCTGGGTAGGTTGAGTGTGGCCCATGAGGAAGAGGGGAGACTCCCAGATGGGCCTCGCCCAGGGCCTGCACTCCCACTCATGCATGGGGGCACACAGAGTCCTTACCACCTGGGTCACTGCCCAAAGCTGCTGATGCCACTGGAGGCCCACCCAGCACGTGTGGAAGTCCCTTGGTGAACGTAGCAATACCAGTGATCATGGCCTTGAGGTAGGGAGGCTTCAGGCAGTATGTCCCCGTGGTTTGGATTCTTTTTAAATGGACAGAACAACTTTGGGCAGAGCCCAGCTGCTGCGCCACCTCTCCTGATGTGGGGGTGGGGGAGGCAGGGACAAGGCCACCCACCCCTTCTGCTTTGGGGCTAAGCTGTCTGCTGACCGCCCACTGCCCCTGCAGGAGGACTGCCACCAGAAGATTGATGAACTCTTCTCGGGAAAGCTGTACCTCATCGGCATTGCCGCCATCGTCGTTGCTGTCATAATGGTGAGCTGGTGGGGGCAGGGCCTCTGTTCGTGGGCACTGAAGCCCCCTGCCTTTCGGGTGCTGACCTCAGCCTGCCTCCTCCCTACAGATCTTCGAGATGATCCTGAGCATGGTGCTGTGCTGTGGCATCCGGAACAGCTCTGTGTACTGAGCCCCTGCAGTGCCCCAGAGTGACCCGGAGGTGCTGCAGGGCTGTCACCACCTGTGTATATAACGTTTCCGGTATTACTCTGCTACACTTAGCCTTTTTACTTTTGAGGTTTTTTTGTTCTGAACTTTCCTGTTACCTTTTTGGGGCTGACGTCACCTGTAGGTGGCGTGGGTGGGGGTGGAGCAAACTTGGGCCTTGGGGACCCTGTGCTGAAGGGGCCCCTTAGTGAGCTCTGCCTGCTAAGCCAGCGCCCTCCCAGGGACACCTGTCCTGAGGCTCAGCATGGCTGGGCTGGGGGGCTGTTGCCCCCCTTCCTTGTCCCATGGGCTGCACCTTTTTAATCCTTGTTCCTTCCCTGCCCCCATTTTGAGAGCCGGGTCCGAGCACTCTTTATGCCTTCAATGCACCTGTCCTTTCTAACACGTCACCTTCAATTGTAATTACAACATCTTGAAAATCATTTAATAAAGAAGGAAAATCAGGCATGCTAACAGGACTGTGGAGCCAGTTCCTCTGCCAGCAGCACCCAAGGCCAGGTGAGCCCATTGTGAGTTTGGCCCCGATCTGGACTTTCCCAGGCCAAGGGGGAGCTGGCCCAAGAGGGGCTGCTGGCTACAGTGGGTGGGTAGGGCTGGACTCTGGGGAACAGTCCCATGTGCTGAATGACCCTTTTGGGGGCTCTGTGCTGCCACAGCAGTCTTGACATCACTCCCACCTCACCCCTTGGACACTTCATCCCCAGAGGGACAAGTGGGGCCAGACAGGGAATTCAGTACATGATGTGCTGGGGGTAGAGCTGCAAGACCCTCCCCCAAGCATTTCAGGATGTCTCTCTATTTGGGTGCCTTAAGTATTCCATTAAGCTGGGTCAGTCAGCCTAAAACCATATTTTAAAGGGGCTGGTGAGGAAACTTTTAAAGCCTCCTGGAGGCCCACCCAGCCCAGAGTGGTGAACTGAGGCTCTGAGGCTAAGCAGTCTTTGGGCAACACCCACCCTTTTCTCCTTGTCCCATCTCTTACAACCAATGGGCTTGACTAGATGCCCCTGTCTTCGAGGTCCCCAGCCTAGGCCAGGCTGCTTTCCCCTTAGTCTCGGTAGGGCAGTATGAAAAACTGACTGGGACATTTAATTGGCTGGACCTGGGTGGAATTCTGTCACTGGCACCCAGCAGCCTCCTTGAGTCTGACTCTGGAAACTAGCCAGGCCCTACACTGGAGCACTGCAGGGTCTCGGCAAGGACCGCCGCCCCGTCCTTGCCCCTGGGGTTAGCTGATGGTTAGAGGCGCCTCCTCCTTCCTACTCCCCCTCAGTGTTGCCTACTAGCTGGGGTGCTTCAACGTGGGCTTCTGGAAGCAAAAAACATTCATTCCTAGCAAGGTTCTGGGCAGGGCAGGATAAGGTGTCCCAAAGGTGCACCGCAGACCAGGAGGCTGAGGAACGGGCGTCTCCAGGAGAGGCCACAACAGGACCTTGTGGCGGAAGGTCAGAGGTGGGTGGTGCTTCAGCCGAGGGAAGACGCCGCCCTCGGGTGGAAGGGACAAAGGATGTCGCCCGGCTGGGGCCTGTGGCCTATCGAGGGGAGAACCTGCCGTGGAAGGCCGAGCCTCGCCCCCCGCCCAGCACCTCCTGGGTCAGGCCTCGGGTCGTTGGGGTGGGGGACTCCAGGAGGTCAGGCTCCACGTGCATGGGGCAGTAGGCCTTCTTACTGCCTCGGAGGTACTGATACTCAGCATCCTGGGCACCTTAGCCATCCTTTGGAGCCAGTTTGGTCTGGGGTGGTGGGTTGTGGCGTCCAGGTTCTTTGAAAATAAAGTAGTATTGGGCACTAAAATATTCGTAGTATTCGGGGGTGCACGACCGGTCAGCGGTGTATGGCGCCGGCTCCTGCGGACAGACCAACGCAGCACAGCACGGCCTACTGCTACCGCTTCCGGCCAGTACCGGAAGTGCGCGCGGAACGGATTCGCGCCCGTGGTGTGCGATGACGCACTTCCTTGTCAGAAGCGGTCGCTGAACTCGCGGTCTCCAGCAGGCGGCACTGGAACTCCGGCCAAACTGCACGGCCAGCCGCAGCCCCGGGGCACTCTGGGAACCGCAGTCTTGGCTCCGCCCCCTTCCTGTTCGTCACTTCCGGAGCCGAGGAACCGTGGGGAGGAGCGTTGGCAAAGCCCTGCGTGCGCGCAGAGTGCGCGTCCCGGCAGGCCTCAGGGTGGCCGTCGCGGCCTTGTGGGAGTGGTAGTTCCTCAGGCGCCGCAGCCGCGGCGCGGGGACTGGGGCGGGGGGGGGGGGGGACCCCCTTTCCCAGAGCCCCCCGCGCGGGGGGGGGGGGGCCGCCTCCGGCGGCGGCGGGCGCGCCGGGGGGGGGGGGGGGGGGGGGGGGGGGGGGGGGGGACTCACTTTCCCAGAGCCCCCCGCGCGGGGCGGGAGGGACCGCATCCGGCGGCGGCGGACGCGCCAGTGTGCCGGGCTCCGGCGAGTTCCCGGTCGGCCCTCTGAGTGCCGGAGGCTGCGTGTCCGCCGCGCTCCTGCCGCCCTGCGTTTCGCGCGGCCCAGCGGAGCGGAGCAGAGGCCGCCGCTCGGCCCACCCGCGGAGCGGTCCCCGAGCGAGGCAGGCAGCCGCCGAGAGCCCGGCCCTCTGCGGGTTGCACCGTGGTCTGGTGGCCGGCTCCGCTGCAGCCCCCGCCCAGCGAGCAGCCGCGCACCTGGGCCGGGGCCCGCACGCCCCCACACCGAGGCCCTTCTTCGGCCCTCCGCGGGGCCCGGGGGCTCGCGGCAGGCCGGACAGGGGCCCCCGGAGGACGCGGGTCTGCCGGAGCGCCTCGTTCTGAACACGCTCTTCACGGGCAAACCGCTGGCCGCTGGGCTCCAGGGCAGCGTGGCCGGGCGCCCATGGCCGAGGCGGGGGCGGGCGAGCCGGCCCCTGGCTTGGAGGCGGAGCAGGCGACGGAGTGTGACACCCGGCCTTCTGACGCCGTCTCGCTCAGCGACTCGGACTCAGACCTCAGTTGGCCCGGCACTGCTGAGGTGGAGGCGCCGTCCCCCGAGGACTCCGGCCCCGAGGAGCCCCCCTGGTCGCCGGCAGGCCTCCCCGGCGCCGCCGCGCGGCCCTTCCTCCTCAGAGGCGTGAGCTCCACCTTCTCCCAGCGAAGCCACAGCATCTTTGACTGCCTGGAGGGGGCGGCCAGGCGGGGGCCGACCTCTGCAGCTCCAGCCGGCAGGAGTGACAACCGTGGCCCCAAGCGGCCACCGATGCCCTCGAGCCACCCTCCAGCGGCAGACCCTGACCCTCCGAGGGTGCCGCCTCTCCCTGACTATGTGGCTCACCCTGAGCGCTGGACCAAGTACAGCCTGGAAGACGTGGCCGAGGCCAGTGAGCAGAGCAACCAGGCAGCCGCCCGGGCCTTCCTGGGCTCCCGCAGCCGGGCGGTCCCCGCTGACTACACGCCCTCCTTCAACCAGCGTCCCTCCAGCGGTGGGGAGGGCAGAGTCGTCTTCACCAAGCCCGTCCGAGTTGGTGAGGCCAGAGCTGAGAGGAAGAGGGCCCTGAAGAAGGGGGATGTGCCAGGTGTTGGGGGCGAGGGTCCTGTGGAGCTGGCCCACCTGGTTGGGCTCGGGAGCCCAGAGGCCGAGGAGTGTGGTAGTGCCCTGGGGCTACAGGATTTGGGGACACCTTCAGGGGCTGTCCACCCTGGATCCTCACCAGGACCCCCAGGGGTGGAGATGGTTGGTTTCCATGGCAGCAAGAAGCGGAGCCGAGAGCACCTGCGCAATAGGGGCAGCAGCCCTGAAAGCTCAGGGGCTGGGATGGGAGGGGGACACTCAGACTGACCACACTGCCATTGCCTGCCCAAGCAGAGACTGCTGAGTGGGCTGCAGTATGGGGCCATGGTCGCTGGGGTGGATGGGGAATCATCCTCTTGGTAAGGAAGTTGATTAGCTGCCTGGAGGAGGTGTCAGAGTTCTGGCTACCCAGTGTCCACGGGGGGACAATAAAAGTTTTGGCTGTTCTGCAGGTTCTGTGTCTATCTGGGCCCCTCACCCTGAGGGCTCTGCTGGCAGCCCTCGTTTGTCCTCCAGCCTCTCTTGACCCTCCCCGCCTAGTGGGGCTGCTCTGAGGGTCTCAGTGACCTGCATTGCTCACTGGGGGACCCACTAGAAGGACTGAAGTGGCAACAGCAGGCTGAGGCCCCGGTTCCTTCCAGGGCTGCAGTTCACAGTCCAGCGTCCATCCCTGTGTCCTGCATGGTGAGGCTAGACCTTGAGCAGGGCCCTGGGTGGCTGCTCTCCCAACCCTGACCGTGCTTGTCATGGCCATGCGTCCCACGTGGGCTGTATGTGAAGATGGACACGTAACAGATGTCTAGGATGTACCGCCAGGACACCTGGCCTGTATTTAGAGCACAGATGCCACAAGTCAGTGCTAGAGACTTCCTAACTGGGCAGTGGGGGGACAAGGATGGTTCTCCATGGCAGTGGGCAAGGCGAAAAGGAATGGCCACGTCTCCCCTATGATGCCCAGGATCTGGGGGTCAGATTAGCCTACTGTGTTGTGGTTTTGCATGGGCAGCCCTAACTCCTGGACTCATCCCTTAGGAAAGGAGGGACCAACCCAGTTGGTTACTTTGCTTGGAGTGGGGGACTCCAAGAGGTCAGGCTCCACGTGCATGGGGCAGTAGGCCTTCTTACTGCCTCAGAGGTACTGATACTCAGCATCCTGGGCACCTTAGCCATCCTTTGGAGCCAGTTTGGTCTGGGCTGGCGGGTTGTGGTTTCCAGGTTCTTTGAAAATAAAGTAGTATTGGGCACCTGTCTGGGCTGTGTCCTGAGACCACTGCCGTGGGTGCCAGCACTCCCCATACCAGCTGTGGGGGGTAGATGGTTACTATTGCCACTTGGCCCTTCCCACCAAGAGCCGATCAGCTGACTCCTAAGGGGCCCTTTGTGTCTTAAGGGGTAGAGATGTTGATCACAGGCGTTTCAGGAAAAGATAGTTTCTTATCAGATGACACAAGTGGAGGCAGGGCAGGCCCCAAAGCAGCTGCCCAGCCTGGATGGAAGGAACCCCCAACTTCCTGGGGTTTGGCCAGAACTGGCTGTCCAAGCCAGGCCAGCCAGGTCTTAAACAGGGACATGGAGGACTCATCCTGTGAGGGACACTGCCACCAATACTGCTGGGGGTCCCAGGTAGGTCAAGAGAGAATGATTCATCTTCACAGGGACATGTTCAGGAAGAGGTGTTCTGATGAGGCTGGGAGGGCTACTTTGCTCTGGGACCTCCAGTGGAGGTGGGGGAAAGTTAATGTGTCCCCAAGGCCCAGGATGACCAGTGATGGGCCAGGCCTGGGCTTAGTTGGGCCTGTGGCATGGCAGGCCAAGCAGCTCAGTTGTCTGAGGGTGGCTGGCCAGCCTCTGGGTATTCTCTGCCACCAGGGCCATCTCCGTGGCCAGCAGGGGCCTGCCGGCTCCCATTACCACATTGCCGAGAGCCTGGTGGGAAGAGAGACCCCACCTCAGCTGTTGAGTGCCAGCTGGGCAGGCCTAGGAGGCAAGGGCAGGATGTGGTGGCCTCAGAGTGGGTGCCTGTGGAGGAGGCTGGGAGTCCCAAGCAAAGGTGGTGTCCTCAGGGCTGTGGGTGAGTAGGGTGGCACTTGGCAGGGTCAAGAGTGCAGCCCAGTAAGGCAGATATTGGACAGAGCCTCAGGGTGTATCTGACATCTGAGGGTGCCAATGCCCTGGACCTTGCAGCATCCCAGGAGTAGTGGCCAGCCAAGGGGGCCAGTGGCCTCCAGACTGAGTGGGGTGGTAGAGTGCATCAAGAGGCCCGTGGGCCCTGCAGCCTGCCCACATGGCTGGGGAGGAGGAGCCCAGGCCCACTTCACAGCCAGCTGTGCACTTACTCCAGTAGTTGCTGCCTGGGGCTAGCACATCAGCCATGGAGGACAGGAGCAGCGTGCAGTAGTTGACCTGGAAGTGGATGGGCCAGGAGATTCCAGGGCATGCTGGTGGAGCCCACCCGTCTGCCCCCTCAACTGCCAGGGCCCTCTGCCACAGGACCCCTCCTCCTCAGTGTGGCCTCCATGAGGATCTGCAAGACCAGCTCTGGGAGGGCACTTAGACTTTCGGGTGACTGGGGGTTGGGCAGGTACAGGCCCCACGTGCACCTCTGTCCTGGGACTCGCCGGCCACGTCCACAGGAGTCCACCACTCTGTCCAGGCCCTGGCCCAGCCAGCCCATCAATTTGGATGTTGGGCTCAGGGATGTGCCCACAGCACAGGTGGACAGCCTGACCCCAGGAAGCACTGGGGCCTGGAGTTGCTGCTTGCCTGTGATTCCAGACACCGGATCCGCTTTTCTTGCTCTCTCAGCCCCCCGAGGTACTTGGCAACAGAGTCCACTCTGTGGATAAGCAAGGGCAGCTGTGGGCCATGACAGCCATTACTCCATATGGGGGCCGCCTGTCCTCCCTCGCCTACCCCCCAGGCCTCTGGGTACTGAGTCTGATGTGCTGGCCCCTTCCTGTCCTGCTCTCCCAAGTGGGACCCATGGCTCTAGGAATGGTCGCATCCACGACCACTCAGCACATGGCCAGTCTGCATGTAGAGCACTTCTGTGCCCTCCCAGGGGCTGGGCTCTGCCCTGCCTGACCACAACAGCAAGAGGGGGCACAGGGCAGGAGATCCCACCACCAACAGGCATCAGGGAAAGGTCCCCTGCAGCCAGGGCTGGGTTCAGACCACTCGGTCCCCAGAAGGGAGGGGCCCTGCTCCCTGGCCAGTGTCCCAGCTGCAGAGCAGGCTAGTCCCTGGCAGAGCCCCTCAAGTGGGCAAGAGGTGGGGCTGCTGGGCCCAGGGACCCAGCCACGTCCTGCTTCTCTCCTGGTTCCTCCGCCCAGATCCGGTTACTGACACTGGAGGTCCTCTTCCAGCTTTCAAGCAGCTCAAAGCTGACCAGTGAAAACGACAGTGGTCTTCCCGATGCCCAGGCTGGGCACCACTGCCCAAGTCTGCTGCCCCTCACAGCAGACCCAGGTCAGCAGGGCTGGGCTTGCTCTGGGTCCACCTGCCACCAGGGCAAGGCCCTTTCCGTTCCTGGGCAGCCCCAGGTGTGTACCTGTGGGCGGTTTTCCGCAGCACCTCCCCCTCACTGTCCCTCTTCCTCCTCTCCATGTTGCTCAGGAAGTTCTCCTTCTGAACAGTCTCCCAGGTGACGATCTTCTGGTCCAGGGGGTCCGGCAGGTCTCGCTCTGGGGAGGTGGGAGCAGCAGGGAGTCTTGCTGGAGCCAGGAGGTGGACCCAGGGGCAGGTGCCGCTGGGCAGGTCATGAGTTGGCCCCTTGCAGAGACCCCCCTCCCCAAGCTGCTGCAAGACAGGCTGGGCCTGTGTCCATCTCCTCCGGACCTGGGACTTTGATCAGCCTAGGCAGTGGAGCTGCGGGACCCCAGGACCCTGGCCTCCCCGTGGCACCTTGACGGGCGGCAGGCCCTCAGGATGGGTGGTGTCCAACAGGTGCCTCACCCAGGTGTTCCTGCTTTTGCGGGGCTGCCTTCCTGAAGACGCGCTTGAGCACCAGGCTCAGGTGGCTGAGGAGGATGAAGGGTGGGGCCAGGGCCGGGCGCCCGTGGTATTCCACGATGAGGTGGTAGCGCTGGAACTTCCAGAACATGTCGGCGTTTCCCTGCACCACCTGGAACGTGTAGCTGTGGGGACACATGGCCAGACCCCTCAGCCCACTAGCCTCCACCTCCTCAGCACGTGTGGCCCTGACCCCCCTGTGCCAGGAGCAGTCTGGGCCCTTTCCGAAGCAGAGGTCCTGCACGCTCTGCCGTCTCTGGGTGTACTGCAGAGAGGGTCCACCCACTGGCCTCTTCCCCTGCCTTTCTGCCCCCTGGGTAGGCTTGGGCCACACCACGTACCCCCGAGCCCCCAGCCCCCGAGCCCCCAGCCCCCGAGCCCCCGAGCCCTGGGCCCTGCTTCCTGGGAGGAGGCAGTGGCCGTGGAACCTGAGTGGGCTTACAGTGCGGACTGCACCCTCCCCACACTCTGGTCTCACCCTGGGCTTTGGGGCCAGGGAGTTGAGGCCCTCAGCAAGTGCCAAGGACCCACCCTCCACCTGCCTGCTCCACAGTAGCAGGACAGGGCTGGTGCAGCGAGGGCAGGTGGCCTGGGAGGGGCAGGACATGGGCACCTGAACATGGCGATGAGCAGGTTCATAAGCAGCACATTGGTGACCAGCAGGAAGGTGACCAGCAGGAGGATGACCAGCCAGTTGGCATAGAGGTTGGGGCAGGAGGGCGAGTCCTCCAGCAGCAGGGGGTGGACGGAACAGTTCACACGAGCTTCTGCAAGACCGACCAGTGGGCACTTTCAGACTTGGGGGCCCTGTCCTGAGGCTGCGGCCACCAGGACACAGAATGCTGGTGAGGTGACCCAGTGTCGTGGTTCCCACAGCACCGCCTGGGCATTTCGCACTGGAAGCCCATGGTGGAAGCCCTAGTCCTGGCAACCAGACAGGCGGGCTGCCTGGCACCAGTGCACATATCCCACTCTGCTTGGCTTCCACCAGGAGCCACAGCCCTGGAGGGTGGAACCGAAGACCAGGGAGGTGGAACTGAAAAATCAGGGAGCAGCATCTGGTGACTGTATGAACTAACTCCTCCATCCCTGCCTGGGAAGCCCACCATGGGGCTCCAAGCTCCAGGCAAGTCTACCGCCTTTCAGGATCACTGCTGACCCTTGACACAGCCCACTCTGGGCCGCAGTGCCATCCGGGAGCCGTCAGGCTGAGCTCCATGGGCCTGGACATGCGCATCTGTCTCTGCACGTGTGTGGTGTGGGTGTCTGCGTGTGAGCACACGGTACTCTCTTCTGTACATTCCAGTGTGTTCTGGTGCCTACCCCTCTGGGTCTCTGGGCTGTGACTGACTCCAGGCCACCCCGGGGCCTCCACTCTCCAGGTCACCTGTGTACCAGTGTCCCTAGGACTCCCTCACTGGCACAAATTCCTGCCTTGTC